TTATGAAAAAATAAAATCATGATCAAAGAATTACACCGTAATCACATTTATCGGGAAAACCCAAGCATCAGTCATTTTTAGTGCGTCTTTTAGTGCGTTGTTAATATTGCGAAATAAAATGTTTAATTAATTCGTTCTAAATATAGTGCCAATAGGTTATTTCTCCAAAACTCTTAGGTTTCTTTAAATTTAATAACCATGCGTGAGTTTTTATCTGGAATTTCAGACTTTCGAGAGGGAAGAGTCCTAAATTAGCCATACTAATTCATACAAGTTGTGACATCCTTGAAGTAATTTTTTTTGCCCTATGTTATTCTCGTCCCTTAAATCTTAATATAACTTCAAAATACAAGAATGCATTTCCACCACATACTACACTTAATTGGAGATCAACGGAAGAGATTCTAGCAAAAACTGTAGGTGTCATTTAACAACATAGCCATCGTGTTGGCCCCCAACACCTACAGCTTTAGGGGACCTCGGATGTTTTAAAAGTTTGTTAATTATCAACTTTGATTGCAATTAGAGGTGAGGACAGACCCGAAAAGGAACAGAGTGGACGGAGGGACGGGTCGGCTGGAACTGCCGGTGTTATACAATTTTTTAAAAAGATATATCTAAAAAGTAAGATTTCTTTGAATTTTTATTATATCTATTTTAAGGGTAAAATTCTTAAATAATTAGTGCAATAATTCGTGAACTTATATTAAATATAATTCTTCCAAAAATTGTTTCCATTATCAAGTTTGATCAGAGTTAAAGAAAAATAAAACTTATTGATGGACAAGTCTATGGTTTTTGAGCACTGGAATTCTTATAAATCATAAACAAACTACATAATTACGTTAAAAAAACATGTCTACAATGATATCATATTATTATATACATTAATGGGGGATTTATCTGAACAAAATCAAATCAAAAAAAAAAAGAAAGTATAATAAAAGATACAAAAATTCACTTGATTATAATGATTATTAAGAATCTCAAACTATGACAAACCTCTGCAGACAAATTAAAAATGTCCTCTTGAATATACTTTACAACATTGTTGAAACCAAATCCACGGCAATTATTTTTTTAAATTAAAGATTTAAGGGAGAAGAATTATTTCTAAATTTCGCACAAAATAATAAAAGAAAAGAAATAAGAGGCTTGACTAAAACTGTCATTAGGCGACTAGGCTCACATTACAGTCGCCGCGTCTAGCGGATTCGTTATGAAAACAGACGAAGGCTACGTACCATCGCCATCATCATTACGAAATTGTCGTGGTGTTAATTTTATATTAATAATATTCAGACCTTCTCCCCGGGCACACCCGTAACACAAAGTCTCCCATTTCGAGACCACCGCCTTCACCTCTCGGGGCAAACGTAGCATGTGGTGCAACTTAGGTTTGCAAGCAACATGTTCACACATGACGTAAGTGAAGTGAACACAACCAACGAGATCGACTGATGAACATTTGGTGACCCCCTGCTCTTGCAATATTAGCACTATTTACGGATCATCAAATAGATCGAGCGTAGCGATAATTTATATATTCCACTATTTGTAATGGGTAAAATGACACCAGTTACTTTTCTTCTTAAAATAGTTCTAAAAATGACACTTTTTAAAATGAAATATATTTTCTTGTTATCTTTGTACGCATCTTGCTACCGGGGGCACTTGGCTACCCTGGGGCGCAGTGACACCCGGAGCGATAGCAGAAAGAAACGCTGAATAACAACTAAAAGTGTAGCATGGAATCCCCTTAAAATCACCCAAGCATTACACATGGTAATAGCCAGACACATTTCTATTTTCCATCATCAGTTATAAAAGTCAAAATATGAGATTACAGTCAAAGAAAAAAGGGGCTACAAACAAAAGTTAAAGAAACAAAATAATGAATAGTTCCCGACATATACCTGGCTAAACAAAATAATGAATAGTTCCCGACATATACCTGGCTAAACAAAATAATGAATAGTTCCCGACATATACCTGGCTAAACAAAATAATGAATAGTTCCCGACATATACCTGGCTAAACAAAATATTGACACTATGACGATATTTGTCTATGGTGATACTTTTATGGAATGAAATCGCGTCTACTTAACTATACACCATCGTGTATGTTTGATCACTACGGGATGTCTCAGTTGTACATACATGAAGTACAGGGTTCTCAAACTCAAATTATCAGGGACCGCAGGAGGTAGAGTCTGGGTGAGATTGGCCGCATCAAGTATTTTACAAAAAAGCTATTACAAATTCAATAAGGAACGTCTGTTACAATCTGCTCAACCTTAATTTAAAAAAAAAAAATACATTAAGGGTTCATAAGAACTCGGCTTCACTTACTTCCTACCACTCGTTGTTGCCAGAGACCTCTTCTTACGCACCTGCGTAACTTTTGGCTTGAGTGAGGAAGCAACTGAGACCTTCCGTATTGCGTGAAGATGCTCATCAGCAAGTTTTGACACAAACTTTGACTTATTAAAGTTCATAGCGGAAAAGGAATTTTCACACTGATAGGTACGCCCCAAAAAGGCACATGATCCGCTTGAAAAACATGGAAATCTCAGAGAAGATGAAAGGCCATAATTTTCTCATAAATTGTCCCAACTTGTCTGTTTTTTCCCATTCACCGCCTGGAATATAGCCTTGAGGTCAGAATTGCTATGAAGTGTAATCAACCCCATTTGATGCGCAAAAGGGTGGGGGGATATTCCACATTGAAAGAAAAAGGGTCAGCAAAAATGTGAGAAGTGGCTCTGTGTGTTTTAATGTCTTCAAACCTGTGATCAAATTCTTACCTTATCTTTGCAATAGCATCAATATAATTAATACTAAATTTGGTGCCCAATTTCGTGAGTACTTTGCATGTTTGGAAATGCAGATGGTTCTCTGAGAAACCTGGGGCTTTCCATAACGCAAGTTTTGCGCAGAATGCCCCTGACATTGTCAAAGGCAACACTGGCAAGCTGCCCATTGCCTTTTAACTTCTTGTTGAGTACTTTCAGCTCCTTTGTAATATCAACAAGAAAAGCCATGTCCATGAGCCATTTGGGATCACTTAGTACAGGAGCAACCCAACCCATCTCTCTCGTTTTGGCTGGTATTGAATCTACAAACATTTTTCTACAGTTTTAGTTAAATCAAATAAATTGACATTAACTTTGGCTCAAACAATAACAAATCACTGCACATACTTCTGCTAGCTTGTTTTCAAAATTAGGCGAACAAGACATTAACACTCGAAAATTGAGAATAGCGTCAATCCTAACCTCCACAAGTAAACCCTGCCGTCACATTGCGTACCATTGTTAAGAGCATTCTACCCTCAGTAAGAAAACACAATTTACTGTGATCTAAAGTAAAAATATTCAGCTGATACATTTATGAATATAATGAGCTTCTGGTAAACAAAGACAAAAAAAAAAAAGCATAAAATAAAAATAAAAATAGGGCGATTACACAAGCGATTTTAAAACTAAATCGTGTTCCAAAAAAAAAAAAAAAGAAAAAAAAAAAAAAAAAAAAAGCAAAAAATAAAAATAAAAATAGGGCGATTACACAAGCGATTTTAAAACTAAATCGTGTTCCAAAAAAAAAAAAAAGGAAGAAGTAAACAATAGTTATAAATTATTGATGCAAAGGAAGGTGCTATTTTAGGGAGAATGAATTTTGATTTTTTAATCGAAGATAAGTTCCTTTTGACTAACTCTATTTTGAAAGTTTCCAAGCTGTTGGGCTCGGAATTTCCCTCACTCATCACTCATACAATAAGATAAGATAAGAAAAGGTTCTTTTATCGATACAAATAAATGGAAATGTTTTTTGCTTGCATCATACATTTTCAGCACATAAATAAAACAATTTGAACACAAGAAATTTATAATAAATTATTTCAAACAGCTATTCAGTGAGTTCTCTTAGCCAAATCGGGGACATTAGTTCTCATGAAAATGTGTGACTTCATAAGGAGCACACCTGTAAATTCGTACAGATTAGGGAACAAAAGAATTTTTATATCTGTCAGTCCTCGCCCTGATGGAAAGAATTCGTCCCGAACGGCCCAATCCTAAGTATTGTGGTGAAGATGGTGGGATGTATCATCCAAAATGTGTTTAGTTTTACAAAAACATCTTTCTTCAAATAGTTCTTCAAGCGAAGGATGTTTAGTTTGTGTTATGTTTCTAGCTTTCTTGATTAGTCGGTTTATGTGGTGTTTAATATCAGACGTTGAATTCCCACACCAGCAGGTAATACTGAAATTAAGCAGGCTTGCAATGGTTGCACTGTAGAATAAGTTAACGACTTGCTTGTTTACGCCGAAATTATACAGTTTTTTAAGTGAGAACAGTCTTTGGTTGAATTTCTTATTCAGCATTTGGCCATGCTCATGCCATGTTAGCTTATTATGAATGGTGACACACTCGCGGCATACACATTAACGGCAATGTTAATAGGTGTTCTTTGATACTGTGTCAGATTGCTACGGCTTATACAATTATGGTTGTTCATGACCCACTAACTGACTTTTTAAACTTTTCTCAAACCGCACATTCGGCATCGTTTTTCTCATGAAATGCTATAAAATAAAAAACAACAACTTTTAGTCCAATTCCAAAACGATTTTTACAATTATAATTAACGTCCAAATCTATACAAACGTAATAAAACACAGAAGTAGACTAGTCGGTGAGATCCGACTGAAACCGTCGCGTTGGGTCACATTATAGAGATGAGAATGAATAAAGCGCTCGGGCCGCATTAACACTTAACTTTGGTGTCAGGTATCGGGCCACAAAATATCGTCTTGCAGGCCTTAAATGGCCCGAGGTTTGCCCGTTTGAAACCCCTGATGTCGGAAGCATACTAGAAAACCTTAATGTATACCCTTACCCCTATGCCATCGTATGTGCATGAACTGTACAGGTCAACCAGACAACTGACGCCCGCCATGAAGGATTCATTAGCGGACGACGTCCAGCCAGGCGAAATCGGCAAGAAGTTTCTATCGACCAGTCTCCGAACAATATCAAAGGCGTGCATGAATTCGTGGCCAAACAAACAACCAAGACCTCCGTACTGAAATGATCTAAAGATAATTGTAAAGTTTTTCAATGTTATTGAAAATCTTGTTATTTATTGCTTGTGTTATGCGAGTGTTTATATGTGTATGTTATATGTGGGTCATGTGTGTATCATGGAATACGCTTGTCAAATTTTTTGTTGGACTAACTTAATAATAAATGAGTAGCATCAGCCTGAACACTTCTAACAAATACAAGTATTGTAATGTATTAACGAACAGGATGTCTAAATTGTTTGGGAAACTATTATAATAACGCCCCTATTGCTACTATTTCAGTTTCACTCATATTTTATAAATAGAAATACTCGTGTTATAATGACCAAGCAGTCCCTTCATTTATTTATAATGACCAACTGGTGGTATCCTAATCGAAATCATGCTGCTTGAAAAGCAATGTTGCCAATGTTGTCCTTCCAAAACGATAACATGTGTTACTATTCAAGCTTGGCTCGTGAACAAATGAACAAATTAAAACTGTGTTAAAATGAAGCGTTGACCAGTCTTCACCTCAAAATATCCGCTCAGCGATTTCACCTCGTGTCGAGGGTGATTATGAAGAGAAAAAGTCCTTTACCTCTCATATCTATTTTCCTTCTGGTGCGTCCTGCTTTCTTTTCAAAATTGCCAACCCCGAAACTCCGCATGTTTTATGTTAATAGTTATGCTTAAAAAAATGTCTGTGCCGCAGCGAGATTTATGCGTGTCGTCTGAACACCGGCAATTAATTACTTTTTATTTTCTTTTTTAAATAATATTACAAACAAAAAAATATTATTATTTTAACATCTTTGTTCTTGGGCTCCACACCACAAAGAACTGAGTCATGGGCCGTCCTTTCATTTCGGTCCTTTGATGCGCCTGTGAGTCTTGCCGTCACCTGGTACAATGAAGGTATTGCTATTTTCGTTATACAGGGACTGTTGTTTAGCACCCTTTGTTATAAAATGAACGACAGTATCTTCGCTGTTGACGGGTTTTCGTAAAACGTCATCTCTACTCCGAGATAACGACACTGCCTATGTTTAGTGGGTAATCTCTTACCACAAACGGTTGACGAATGCGCTCTCACTACGACAAAGGGCGGGAGATTTCGTTGGATATTCTAGAAAACGAAAAATTAACTCTTATTTTTGTAACATTTGGACGCACCCGTTATTTTCTCAAAATTCCGGGACCCGATTAAAAAATTCTACACCCTGTTAAACCCTGGATAGTTCATAAGTTGGTGTTCAAATTATATGGTGAATCGTATTGTTGCTATGGCTCGCACTTGTCTTAAACTCGTGTAGACCAGTTAGCCCAGCATAAAACAAAATCATGTTCGTATCAAACTCAATATCAGATTATTTAAAACGCTCCATTTGCCAGTGTGTGTGTGTGTTACTTGTGTTCTTAATTTCTATTGCCGAAGTTAGTGTGTGTTAAATAAACGAAAGTAAATAAGCAAATATAGTCCACTAAACCGAGAGCTAAGTTGTCATATCTATGTGAAGTGTGTCATTTCTGATGTAGGATCGTCTCCTGCAACTTTTCATTAGACGTCACCATTGATTCATCGGTTGCTTTTCACACAATCGAAATCATAACCACTTTTATCATTATGTGGTTGGTGTTTCACTGGAAATTATAACCACTTTTATCATCATGTGATTAATGTTACATTGGAAATTATAACCAGTTGTATCATAATATGCTTGGTGCTTCACTGGAAATCTTCAAAGTTAAGTAAAACATTTTTATTGTTAGTACTTTATCAATTGTAAATCATTATTTTTAGTTAAGTATAAAATTGCAGCGAAGACTGTTTTCTTCGTGCTTTAGTATAAGACATTGTTGCAGTTTTTATGGCACTTACTATTATTATTAGATGGAAAGACATAAAAAAAAATTATTAAAACATAAAAATCAACAATCCTAGACTTAAAGAAGTCATTTATATATTCGTACAAATAAAGAAACTTTATAAAAATTACGACGTCATTAATATTCTGGTATAAGTAAAGAAACGTTATAAAAATAGCCAATGAATTAATATACTGGTACAAATAAAGAAAGTTAATAAATATTACATGTATACACAAGAAGTTACCATATTTTTTTGCATCTATTTTCCGTCTAACTATTTCGTAAAGGTGTACTTACTTCGGGAAGAGATGACTGTATATGGGGGGTTGTAAGAAAGAGATGGTGATGTTGATGGAAAGCAATTGAGCATTGGAATAAGCATAACGGTTGAAAGGCATGTACTCCCAACTTCTGAGGAAGTAAAACAGAAAAGAAAATTGCCTTCCCAGTGTTTTTGTAATGTGCATATCTCCGTTTTGGGGGGAGTAACCCTTAAAAACCAGGTGACCACGATTATGAAGCACAGTGTGTTCTCTGGGTTAATATAGGTACGGCTATCTGTTTGAGTTTGTATGTGTTAACAATTGGCGGCCATTTGATGGGGTTTGAATGTATTGACAATTTGCGGCTATTTGATGGGGTTTGTATGTGTTAACAATTGTATTTTTCTACCTTCATGCAAAATAATAAATCTATGTGAGATCAGGTCTATCTGAGATGGTTGCCTCACTCTTTTCATGGAGGTCATTTGATATGCAGGTCATTTCATATTAAGGTCATTTCATATTCAGGTCACTTTGTATGCAGGTCATTTCATATGCAGGCGATGATATCCGTATAAACCTTGCTCTATCAAGTGAAATGAGTTTAACCTGCGCTGTGTCGGTCTGTGTTGTGATGTGAGTTTAACCGTTAATGTGTCGGTCTGTGTTGTGATATAATTTTAACCTGTGCTGTGTCGGTCTGTGTTGTGATATGAGTTTAACCTGTGTTGTGTCGTTCTGGGTTGTCATATGAGTTTAACCTTGGCTGTGTCGGTCTGTGATATGAGTTTAACCTGTATTGTGTCGTTCTTGCTGGTCAAATGAGTTTAACCTGTGCTGTGTCGGTCTGTGTTGTGATATGAGTTTAACCTGGTCTGTGTCTGTCTGTGTTGTGATATGACTTTAACCTGTGCTATGTCGTTGTGTGTTGTGATATGAGTTTAACCTGCGCTGTGTCGGTCTGTGTTGTGATGTGAGTTTAACCGTTAATGTGTCGGTCTGTGTTGTGATATAATTTTAACCTGTGCTGTGTCGGTCTGTGTTGTGATATGAGTTTAACCTGTGTTGTGTCGTTCTGGGTTGTCATATGAGTTTAACCTTGGCTGTGTCGGTCTGTGATATGAGTTTAACCTGTATTGTGTCGTTCTTGCTGGTCAAATGAGTTTAACCTGTGCTGTGTCGGTCTGTGTTGTGATATGAGTTTAACCTGGTCTGTGTCTGTCTGTGTTGTGATATTACTTTAACCTGTGCTATGTCGTTGTGTGTTGTGATATGAGTTTAACCTGTGCTGTGTCGTTCTGGGTTGTCATATGAGTTTAACCTTGGCTGTGTCGGTCTGTGATGCGATATGAATTTAACCTGTGCTGTTCCTATCTGTGTTGGGATATGAGTTTAACATATGATGTGTCGGTCTGTGTTGTGATATGACTTTAACCTGTGCTATGTTGGTGTGTGTTGTGATATGAGTTTAACCTGTGTTGTGTCGTTCTGGGTTGTCATATGAGTTTAACCTTGGCTGTGTCGGTCTGTGATATAAGTTTAACCTGTGCTGAGTGGGTCTGTAATGCGATATGAATTTAACCTGTGCTGTTCCTATCTGTGTTGGGATATGAGTTTAACATATGATGTGTCGGTCTGTGATGTGATATGAGTTTAACCTGAGCTGTGTCGGACTGTGTTTTGATTAGCTTAACCTGTGCTGTGTCGGTCTGTGTTGCTGTTTTTAGTTCTTTGTAGAAATGTTATATGTAGAGTTGCTTCATATCCAAATACTTGCAGATCTCTACTTTTTTATGATATTATGTAGGCTGTAACATCTGTTAGCCCAGCAGTCGTGCCAGTATGTCCCTCAATCACGTCAAGGTATGTTCTTTGACAGGACAAGAGATTCAGGATCAAGATTGTGATTGTTCAGATGTTTTAACCACTCCAAACGTTACCCCTCAATTCCACTGATACACGCAGTATCTAACACCCAATTCTCAGACCTGAAACAAATCGGGGTGCATAACAATGTTGCACTGTTAAAAATGATGCCATGATTTTCATTCCAAAAGGGACATGTGTTACAATTGCTACGGTTGCAACTTTTGGTGTCTCTATTTGCTTAAATCGCATTTTAAATGTCTGAACGTTTCAGGAACCGATATTTTGTTTCAACTTGACAGAAACTCCTTGTCGAATGTCTAAACGTTGCACCAAATTGATGAACACTCTTGTCTGAATAGAATACTTATAGAATTGGTTCAATAAAAATATTAAAAATGATTAAAAACAAAATGTTGTGGAATTTAATTTTAAGATAAAATATTTTGCAAAAATCATTGACTGCATCATTTAAGAAAAAAAAATTGGAACATTTCTTAATTATGTTTTATTATGTTATTAATTATAAATTTCAGTTCAATGTCTTGTATACCATAATGGAATGATCAAGAACTTGCTTTACAGGTACCACAAATTTGTTTTACCTCTACCAAACCAAACCAATTAAAATTAACACTTACATGGTGGGCGAATATGGCTCGAGTTGAAATCGTTGCCTTATAACCTCTTTTCTGATACCAATGACGCTTTTTAAAAGTTCTCCAGGAAAGACTTCGGCTTTTTCATAAACTTTGTCCAGAGTGACCTGGTCAAGAATCCAGTCAGGGTGAGCCGGGTCCATTTCCAACAGTTGGGCTTTTCGAATTAACGCTTTCCTTAAGTTATCATCCATCCAAGGAACACCAGTGAAAGTTTTGACAATTTCTTTCCTGATATTTTCTAAGATAGAAGTGACCTTTAATGGAAAAATTTGAAACATTAACTAAACCAGATAAATAAGTCGATAGACATCTTATACATAAAGGAATAAAAAAAAAGATAGTGGAATCATCTGTAGACAATAAAAAAACTCTAGAATAACTTAGTATGCAACACATTCCCTTTATCGTATCTTATAGCATACACATTGCTAAAGTACGAATATTTACTTAAATAGATTTCCAAATTAATATCCAATTTTATATATATTTTCAAATAAATTTTCTATTTATACATTTTCGGCGTATTATTTTATTTTAATCACATTGCACAAGAAAAAGACCCAACCTTCTTTCAGTAAAAGTGTTTTTAGCCACACCAATGGCCACACCAATGGCCATACCATTAAAATAACTGCCACAGCCATATTTTTAAAAAAAAATCTATCGAATCAATGAAAGAGAGAATATCGTTTCATTAATTAAGCCAGTTCTTGGGTTCGTTAAAAGAAAACCCTTTACAATTTGGGTCACAAAAAATCAAACGGTTTTACATCAGATTTTCAAACAAACAAAGTTATATGTTATAATTTAGACATTTTTACCTTGGCCTTCGTTTCGGGTTTGAAGTAATCTTGAACATAAAGTGCGATCATGGGGGCTGCAAAGAACTTTAACAACGATTTCCTACAGGCAATTTCTCTGGGAAATATCTTTTCCGGCATAACCATATCTTTAGGGAGATAATCCGTCATTCCGTAAAGGAACATGAACACCAGAACGTTGGCAACTACACTACGATAAATAGAGTTGACATTTGTTAAATTTATCACAGCTAAATCACTATAAACGAAATGAAAAAAATATGTGTTGTTTAAGTTTTTTTTTACTCCATTACTGTTCTGAACATCAGTATTTATTTCTGATGCATACAAAGCCATTAAATAAGTACACCTGAAAATGTTTACTGGTTTGTGCTACTTGGATCATAGAACACATGGGCTCTACAAGGGACAAGCGGAAATGAGTTTTCACTCTGTGATATATTCTGTGGCTATAGCAAAGTTGACCAACGTATAGACATCGTTCTCGTCGCAAACTTTAAGCGTTGCTAGAGACAAATGTTTGCTAAATGCAGTTTATGTTAGAGATCATTTATCTTCTTCTTCTATATATTAAGGGCCCATGGTCAATTTATTGATCATTTTGGCTCCTATGCATGTAGAGGGGATTTGCAATGTTTCTGTTCCTGGTGTTGATGAGGAAATTTCACTGATTGCCAGTGCCACTTAGTGACGGAATCATGCACTGGGGGTTGCAAGGCCTTGAGGCAAAAGACGCAAATATGTCTAGTGTTGTCGCCCCAACTGTTCCTTTTGAAAGTTTGTTCCAGTCCCTGATTATCTTGGGCAGGAATGAGCAGCTCCTTTACTGGCTTCTTGCTGGTATGAGCCGGAATTGCCTGTCATGGCCTCGTCGCTGTCTATGGGGGAGTGGCACGAGTTTCTGTGTAATACTGGAACAGCGGACCAACCCATTGTTTATTTTGTACATCATGGGGAGCCTGGATTGTCGTCGTCGTTCCCCCAATGGTGACCAGCCTAGTGTTTCTAGCATGCTGCAAACACTAGAGATATTCCTGTAGTGGTTTAGGACAAAGCCTGCTGCTCGTGGCTGGACCGCCTCCAACATGTCAACGCTCTTCTGGGTAAATGGGTCCCAGACTGAAGATGCATAATCTAAAATCGGACGGATAAAGGCTTTATATTCTCTTTCTTTCACACAGGAGTTGCCAATCTTTAGATAACTCCTTAAGAACCCCAGGGTCTTGTTTGCTTGGTTACATACATTGTTAATATGCTCGTCCCAGCAGACCTCTCTTTGAATGGTAACACCCAGGTGTTATTATATAGATCGATTGGATCATGTGACGCCTGGGCAATGTAAATGTCATTAAAAAATAATAATACATTTTGTCAGCCGATTCGATATAGACTTTGACCTCCTTAATCATCTTTTATACTTTTTATCAACTTGTTGGTGGGTGAGCAGATGGCTGATAAATCGGGTGGCCGAGCAGTCTAAATTGTCTCAAACCAAATAGCTGGTGGTCAGGAGTTCAATCCCCACCAAAGCAAACATCCCAAGCACCCCGGGTGGATGGCACTCGTTAGCCTTGGAATGCAACCCATCTAAAAGAAGATAAACTCTGAATTTAAAGTGGGAGCCAAGATGATCAACAAATTGATCGTGGGCCCCTCAAATATAAGAAGAAGGGTAAGAAAAAGAGTACTTGCATGAAATGTCCTTTTGCAGTAAGTGCAGGTGATTAATGCGACATCTCATGGTGCAAAGTTAACCATGAGTTTCTGTCATGTCTTTAATGTTCTGAAGCCGCTATTCTTTTGGCTACATGTTCTATGGAGCCTTTGTGTACAGAGGAAAGCCACATGTTTTGATCCTTCACCATGTAACCGTGCCTATATCGAACGCTTTCAGCGAAACTTTAAGTGTGTTTCTTCAAACATATCTCCTGTGTACTTGTTATGTAGGATTTCCCCGTGCCGTTAACTTTGTTTGACCCCAAATTAGATTCCTAGAAGACTGTTGGTACTGTTTTGGGTGTCATATTTTTGTTCTTGTATTTCTCTATAGTATCGTCCTTTCTTAGGCACTGTTTGAACGAGCCATCAAATTAAAATAGGAGATTAATTTCTCAAAATAAAAGGCAGTGCGTAACATTACTAGTCAACCTTCTTCCTTGCTTGAGCTCAACAAATAATATTCTTTTGTGAAAGCGTTTGTTTGACATTATTATATCATGTGCCGCCTAGAGAACACACATTTAACCTCAAATTTCCTTGCTGTCGACTAAATAGAGAGCAGACAATTAGCCTCAACTATGCACCATCAACGATTTGTTCTCATTAGCATATTTTGTAGAGCTTTCTTACTTAATGCCCTTAAGCGATAACAGGCCCTGGCTGACCGCATCGACCTGGGGTCCCAATATAGCTTACAAGCTAGATGTTCAACTGCAGACATCATGCTCTCGCTACGCCATTTGCAAGAGAAGTGCCGATGAGATCATTAGCATATCCACTTTGTTTTAAGTTACCTACAAACGGCATGTAGTTTGTTAAGCCGGAGCGGGCAGTTTAGTGTCCTGTATAAAATAGTTGATGACAGTCATATCTGAAGCTGTGACTGCATTTAAGTGGGAGCTTCACTGGTAAGGTCTGCTTGTGCAAGTATCCCAGTGTATTGGACACTGTTTTGCCATTTAATGATTAAGATTTGCCATAGACTTTTCGTATGAATGTGGTTTAACAATTTTGCATGTAATTAATAGACCGTCCACTTTTCACAGACCTAATTGTCAAAGCAACTTAACATGGCTTGTGGATGAGAATAAAATACCATAATACTCTTTGATAAGTAAGTACTATAGTTATAGTAGTGCAAATAAGGTGTATAATATTTAGTATTGGAAAAATAATTACTTAGAAAATTAATTTTTTACAGATTTCATGGAGGTTATTAATTACATTTTTAGAATCTTCCAGAAGGCTCTATATTGTTCTAAGGGGTTATATAACGTGATCTAAAAAGCCTATTCGAACAAAATTCCACTGAGCATGATCGCATAGACGAATAAGATACTAATGGGGAACGAGATCCATTAGTATACTGGAACACATTGATAACGCGATCCCATCGGGTAACGGGATCAAACCGGAATCGGGATCCTATCGGGAAACGGGATAAAATCAGAAAAGAGGGTCCCTATGTAAAACGGGATCCCATAGAGAATGGTATCCTAACGGGATCGGTAGCCCATCGGGATCCACCAAGATCGGGAACCCCAGAATCGAGATACGAACGGGATCGGGATCCAACTGGTATCGAGATACCACCGGGATCGGAATACCGACGTGATTGGGATCATTCCAAAATATCTATATTGATATGGGATCCATAGGGATCGAAATCCCTCCGGAAAACGGTATACTAACGGGGGCGGGATACTGGCGGCATTGGGAGCCCACCGGGCTTGGAATAAATGCCGGGTATGTCCGCTAGTAATAAATAAATAAAAATGTCAAAATAGAAAAAATAAGTGAACCTCAAATGTTTCCAGCGAGGGTATAAAGATTTCTTTTGTTTAACAATTTTATAAGTTTATTAAGCACCCCCCCCCCCCACGCGGCCCCTGAAAGAAAGAAAAATGTCAAAATAGAAAAAATAAGTGAACCTCAAATGTTTCCAGCGAGGGTATAAAGATTTCTTTTGTTTAACAATTTTATAAGTTTATTAAGCACCCCCCCCCCCACGAGGTCCCTGAAAGAAAGACTTGTTTCAAACATAAATATCAATTTAGTTGAACATGATAGAGCAGCGGTAGTTGTGACAAATTGCTGTGAATCGATTGATGTATCTAAGTTTTTGCTTTAAATATTCGTATCATCAAAGATATTGAGCGTAGTGTTATTTCATTGTTTCCACTATTTCATTCATTCCATTATTTCTTTGATTCCATTATTTCATTCATTCCATTATTTCATTCATTCCATTATTTCATTCATTCCATTATTTCATTCATTCCATTATTTCATTCATTCCATTATTTCATTTATTCCATTATTTCATTCATTCCATTATTTCATTCATTCCATTATTTCATTTATTCCATTATTTCATTTATTCCATTATTTCACAGATTCCATTATTTCATTTATTCCATTATTTCATTTATTCCATTATTTCATAAATCTTAACGAAAAAGGCCATTGTTAAACAAATAAAACCTAACGAATATCCTGTTTAGAACAGCTATGTTAAGAAATCTTTCTCTACCGCCTTCTCTACACGGACGTTACGATGTTGGTCTGCTTCATTGGATGAAACTGTACGGCTACTTTGTTTAGTATAGCGATTGTTTTAATCCCTGTTTCTGCTTTTTTGTTTAGATGGAAACACATATCTGCTTGCTATACCGGCGGATAACAAAGTTGGTCAACACTTCGAGTATTTAGAAACTGAAAAAAAGATGTTGAGTGATTTTGCAGTGGAAGGAAAAAGTGTGTGCATCATGTGTGTGTGGGTGGTTGGTGCCACGAGGCAAGTATTTAAAACAAATTGACTTGTTAGGCAGTTCTCTTTATCTATGAAAGTGGATTTTTTAAAATGAAAGTAAAAGTGAAAACTAAGATCAGATTTAAATTGACGCAAATTGCGATGGAGATCTTACCTTTTTTCGTGCTTCTTTAAAGCTTTCCCCAATGAAGTAAAATAAGGCATTACATGGCACTCGATTAACGTGTCCATAGTTATATGCTCATCACCGAAAAACTCTTTTAAGTAATCTATCAAATCCAGCTCAAGGAAAGAAACAATATTCATTCAAAGTAGAAAGATAATAATTAACTTTACATGTTTACATTAAATAATTTGTTTAAATAGTAATAAATATCTATGACTCAAATCTTAAATGGAAAAAAACAAACAAATGTTGTAAAACATTATATATGTAATAAGAAAAATCTAAATTCAGAATTCGGTATTTGTAACTAATCAGTCCTCGAGATATTGCTATCCTCACAAAGATATCTCCCTAAATTTCAATGCAATCAAACTGAATTTTGGTATATGGAATAATCTGAATTCTTTAATGAAAATCTCGATACCAATTTACGTCTGTAACATTATCATGTATAAATATATCCTATTCATATATTGTAAAACCTGACGCATATAGCAGATCATGGACACGCAAAATATAGCATTTATGACAACT